AGGTCCAGACGAAGACGAACCGGGACCAATGGCCCACGTGGCCCGGCCGGCCGCAGGGGCCCACGAACCGGGTCCAATGCCCCCATGGGTCCCAGTTCTGGACTGAACCGGGACTAATGGGCTGACCCGGCCTGGACCATTGCCCCCTTTTCTACTAGTGAATCCCTAACTGGCATTGTGATTCTACCAAGAGCACTCTGACTACTATTCTAGTTAGCATTATTGTCATAGCAGGGAAAACCTAGTCAGCGTAGGGCACTACCATGAACACCCAGACTAGCACTTTGATTCTACTAGGAACACCCTAACTACCAATCTAGCATCTTGTGATAGCAAAACAACCTAATCAGTGTAGGGCAGTAGCATTAACACCCTAAGTAGGCAAATTATATGGCTCTGAATCGATTGGATTCGACTCGACTCAAATCCAATCCAATTTATTTGGAACCAAGCAAGAAGAAACTAAATACTAATGGGGGAAGGGGGAACAAATACTTACCAAAGTGGTTGTCAGTGAAGGTAACGCCGGCTGCGGATCAAACCTTACAGGGAATGTTGGAATAATCCAAACATATGATAGCTATGATTAGGTAAGTTTGATTAAAACGTTGTCTGGTTGGACATTGCATGACACGTTCGAATAGTAGTACCTAGTATTTGAGTCTATACGTATAGAAGTTGGAGTTGGACTCATGTTAGGCTTGTGATCAAGCTTGCCGGTGATTAGTTTAGGATAGCGATTATCCTAGAACGCAAATAGTCACCGATGATAAGAAAGCGATGAGGGTTCTGTCGGGTAATTGTCGTTCGGCGGAACAACCTGGAGGAGGGCTACGGGTTGTAGTCAGTAATGCACTGGTGATCGATGATGGTTATGGAGCTGCCGAAGTTGCGACACCGAGGAAATCATCGAGATCGCCATTGGAGGGTGCAAGGTGGAGATGGCGAAGTTGCGAGCCTCATCAAGATGTGCCCATGAGTTCTTTAAGGTGCGTCCAAGAGCTCAGATGTGTGAGTCTTCTGCTGCAGTTGAGATGCGTCACTGGCGGAATAGGGACCGAACGACATGAATGACCCGGCCATTGGGGGTATAAAAATCCCTGGGCACGACCACCATAGTCGGCACCGATGGGCTTCCCTAGGCCGCCACACCAAACATGCTCCTCTCCGCTGCCATACCTATCGGCATGAATGCATCCGATGGGTCAATGGTCACTGACTGCAGCCTGGTGTGCAGACAGGGGACAATGCCTAGATAGCCGACAATGGATCAATGCCGGTTCGGGTTAGGCCGGTCACCCACCAGTCTAGGATGGGGTTGCTACCGACTATGATTGAAGTAGGGCGGCATTGTTGAGGGTCTGCCATCGGATAGCATGAAGAGGTGGTGAGAGAGTGGGAGCGTGGTGTGAATGGGAGTGGGCTCTGATGAGAGAAAGGGGCGGAGTTATTAGACGACGTGTTGTCTCAAACGCTTTCCAATGCGTGCAAGCGAGAGTGACACGTGGCTCGAGCATGCATGGCTTGCGAAAAACAGTCGAATCGACTGTTCCCCATCAACCTGGCCCGAGACTATTTTAAGTTCTATGCGGACCGAGAAACGCATGCATACCAGCCTACCAAATGCCCCAGTTTTACACCGCACGGCCCTTGTTGGGCTGCATGCAGCCTACAAAACATGCCTAGGGGAGTCTTATAGGATGAAAAGACGTTGTTCTGATCCCATGCTCATGTGAGCTCGGATGAACAGTAAAATCAAAAAAAAAAATGAAAAAATCCAAAGGAAGTTTGCTTGAAATATTGACAAATGTTTTCATAGCTTGCAAAACTTCAACAGCAGATGGACAAAATCGATGCTCCAAAATGCGTTTGAAAATAACATTTTGGAGCATCGATTTTTTTCCAGATTTTTCACGATTGTCGTTTGGTGTTGAAATTTTGCAAGCTATTAAAACATTTGTCATTGTTTCACACAAAAAAATAAGGATTTTTTTGATAAAAAACATTTTGTTTTCAATTTACTGTTCACATGAGCTCGGGATCAGAACAGTCGTGTCCTCGGAGAACACCAATAACAAACAGGATGGTTGGTACCATCGGTCAGATAGTGCGGTCTCATGGAGGAATGAGACGTATTTGGAACTAGCAGATCGGAACAAACCAAGGCTCTTATCACTTTCCATGCAAACACATAGTGACTTTGTGTTATCAAATGTGTGTGATTCAAGCCTAGCCAACAGCTGGTCGTAGATGCAAACCAACCTGTGGTTGGATGTTTAGAGCGCTTGTGTCTGTACTGATGTTTAAAAAAAGAAAAAAAAACAGCTGACCGTAGATTGCATCCGTCATGTTACATAAGACTGTATCTAACCACGTCTCAGTCTTCTACTCTTTTTCTTGCGGGAAAACTTTCAATCTATTCATTTTTAATAACGATAATATAACGAACATGATAAATAATGAAAAATTACATCCGATCCATAGATCCACAAGCAAGTGTTTATGTTTAGCTCAACCCTGACTTGTATTTACCAGCGTGCGAAATGGAGCCCCATCCAAATCATTTTTTCTATTAGAGAAAAAATAGTTCTAAAGTAGTGGCAGAGGGGGAGAGGAGAGTAGAGCAACACAAAGCCATCATCGACCACCACATCGTCGTTTGGAGCCGGCCGTCTCCGTCACTGTAGTCGTTGCAGACTCGCTCTACAAGCTCTGCGCTTTTCCTCACTCGCACCCGAACCCGGATTTCCCCCTCCCCTTTCTCCATCCATACATATATCCTACGTTTGCCCCGTTGTAAATTGTCCTCGGGGAAAGAGATCCAGATCACATTGCTCGGTCGGATCCTAAATCACCTCGGTCTAATTTAAGAACTCAATAACGGGTTGGATAGGCAAACTGATTGATTAGTCGAGTAGGTTTGGTGAAAAAGGAGCATGAGCCCTCAACGACTAGTGTGGCCAGAACTCTAGCATGAGTAACTCCACTTTGATTTCATACGGGGGTCTTCACGTACCGCGCAAAATTGTACGCGGATCTCGTTGGACACTATTAACGCCTCACTAATCGGATTTCGAGCCTTCAATAAAAACTGGTCGATTTTCTTTAGTTTGTGTATACTAACAGACCAAATAGGAGTGCTAGCATCCACGCCCTTTTTAATCATATGTTCATGTTGTTCCCTTGCACTCTCACCTGAACCCTAGTTTCCCCCTTCCCTTCCTACAATTGATCCTCTATTTGGTATCCTGTTGTGTGTTTGTCCTCGTGGTAAAAGAGGGCAGAGTCACATTGGTATATCGCACAAGAAGGTTCCCATACTTAGATATGCCATGAGTCGTATGAATGTCAGCAACTACGCCACTCATGGTAGAATTAAATGATCACAATTGTTGGCATGTGATGTTGGGTGAAGCAATGATGATGTCCTAGCCACACACAGCGTTGATCAATCAGTGACCTCCTATAAATAACTAGGTTATTCCTCATGCAGATGGATCACATTTAGTTGTAAGGGAGACTGGTGGAGGATGGCAAAGCATGCGAAGTGAGCACCAATAACAAGTAGGATAAATGGCGCCGCCCATCCCACATCATGATCTAGCGGCGGAATGGGATGTATTGGAAAACCGAGCCAGAAGCACAGAAAGAAGCACGGCGCATCCCCATGCATTGGAACTATCACCTATTGACCAAGCCACGACCATTATTACTTTCCTGCCAAACAGATAGGACTCTATGTTGTCAATTCAGAAAGTAAAGTATGATCTTCTATGCCACTGTGCACATGTTATCCTGAATGGTTTCTAGTAGAATTCGCAAAGTATTGGTGACAATAGATCCACAATGGTTTCTCGACCCATTGCTCGGCGGGAGTTCGAAGCATACTCTGTTAGCAATTGGGTTTCCACCTAGCAGCAGATGCACAAATTTCCTCCCCAAGCATGACCCTGCCGCCCGCCAGCCGTCGCGGCTGCGGGCGCCATGCTCGCAATGGTCCTCCTCATCACAGCAGCTGCCCTGTTTCGCCCGGACTACCTCCTTCTGGCGCTCCTCCGCCACCTGGTTCTCGCCGCGTCCTTCGACCTGAGTTCCTCCTCTTCCATGGGGAGTTTTTTCCTCAGATTGCGTGGTTTCTTTTGACAGGGTTTCTCGTATGGGTGAAACAACACTGTTTTCCAAGTCCACAGGGTAATGCAGTGTGGTTCATTTCTTGCTGCAGCCCCTAGTGACACGCAACAGCTAAAAGGCTTTAGAGCCTTGTAAGGCTACAAGGACCAAAAGGAGTCGTCCGAAAGGGGATGCAGATGGATTTATTTATCAATGTTTTACAGAAATAGCAGGAGGTCTGCCATACAAAAATATATTTATATGTAGCTAATTGCCAACCAGCAGCTGCGGATGACATACAACAGAAAACAAACTATCTAGCGAATAAAATGATGTGTTATAGAAAGTGTCGGATGCAATAATCAGATGAACATTCATGACCAGCATGCAGGGATGACAATGCTAGTTTGGAGAATCAAGATTATTAGCAGGTCGCTCAGCTGCTGACAACACCTTGGTTACTTGCTGCATCGTCGGACGGTGCGATGGATCATGCTTTATGCGCGGAACAGCGATGGCGACCACTTGAAATATCTTAGTTGCGACCTCAGGTTCAGGGAGTGGGAGCTGGGTGTCCATCATTTTCTCAGTTGATGTACTTTTGTTGTTGTTGTCCATGGACGAAAGGAAATCACCTGGATGATGTCCCATGAACAGCTCTAGAACAAGTATCCCAAAGCTATAAACATCGCACTTCTCCGTCACCCTTGTTGTGTATGCAAGCTCTGAAACAACAACAACACTAGAGAGTTAAAACATAGCGAGGTACTTGAAACAATGATAAGATTATTGATGTAACCAACATAGATATGTAATTTTACCTGGGGCAAGATATCCTTTTGTCCCTGCTACACTTGTGCAGTTCGATGCATTGACATCTAGTATTTTTGCTAGACCAAAATCTGAGATGCGGCTATATATTCCAGGTCAAGCAAAACATTGTTGCTTGTTATATCTCGGTGGACTATCGGTGTGAAGCAGTCATGATGCATGTAAGACAAAGCATGAGCAACCTCCCAAACAATATTTAACCTCCTCGGCCAATCCAATTCAACTGCAGTTTCTGTACACTCCAAATATTTTGATAAGCTTCCCCTATCCATGTATTCATACACAAGAAATCTTCCTTGGGTTGCAGAGCAGCAACCAAATAACTTGGAAATGTTGCGGTGTCGAATATTTATCAATGCACATATTTCATGGCTAAATTGCTCATTATCTTCAAGCATATGGATCTTTTGCACTGCAAACAATTCACCTGTTGGTAACTGGACTCGGTAGACTGATCCACTCCCTCCAGATCCAATGCAATGAGCATTGTTGAAATTGTTTGTGACATCAACTATTTTCTTGTACACATTCTTCCCGTCATAATTCCAGATGGCGAACATCTTAGTTTGTTGTGACCCATCTATAGTTTTTGTCTTGATTTTCTTCTTTTTGCACTGCCATGTTACCAGTGCAATGACAAACACAAAAGATGCAATATAGGCTATTATAGAGAGTAATATAGCTCCAGAATTTTTCCCTCGTTCACTACTTCGAGGAAGATCACAAGGGGGCAAACCTTTTACAACACCACACAATTTCTTATTAGGCCTGAACCATTTGATTGGAGCCGCTTCAAAGAACCTAGTATGTGGCACTGACCCTTCTAATTTTTTGTATGACATATCCATGTATAGGAGGTTGTTGATGCTCTGAAATGATGGTGGAATGCTGTCGTTCAGTGCATTGTGAGAAAGATTCAAGGCTTCCAGCATAGTAAGACCACCTAGTTGACTTGGAATAGCACTATCAATTGAATTTTCACTTAGATCCAACAAATCATGTAGGTTTACCAACATCCCTAGTTCATTAGGAATTGTACCATTGAAGTGATTATGGCTCAATTTTAGGAAGTGAAGCTTCAAACAGTGCTGAATTGATCCTGGTATCTGCCCAGTTAGGTTGTTTGATGATAAATCTAGATACTCCAGATTTCTCGGTGATCCAATTTCTGCTGGCAAATGTCCCTGGAGCAAGTTACCAAAAAGGCTCAAACCGAACAACATTGTTATATTGCCGATTTCTGGAGGAATTTGTCCTTCAAGCTTATTTGATGAAACATCAAGTATCCCCAACCAAGATAATTTCCCAATACTTGATGATATTACTCCGGTATATTGTTTTCTGATGCATGTAGCACTATAAAATTGTAGCACTCACCCCAACGATGAGATAGTATACCAAATAGTTTATTTGAACTCATGTCAATATAGACAAGATTTGGATGAGCTCCCATCTCAGTGATATTTCCTTCGAGGTTATTCCTTTCAAGTCGAATCCTGACTAGGCTTGTACAACTTAGCAAGCTTGATGGCAAGGGTCCAACCAAGTTGTTGTCGGTAACGGTCAAATTTCGTTTTTTTAGGGAAAGGACAGTAGGAAAGGCTCCTCCCCAACCCGGACAAGTTCCTCCCCAACCCGGACAAGTTTGGGTTAGGTATGGAAGGAAAAGTTGTTGTCCTTAGTGTATGTCAGAAATAAAAGAGGAAATAAAGGCAGGGTGAGCACCCTTAGTCCTATGTTGGAGGAGGCTAAAATCCTCCTTAAACCTTCTTAACCAGCTATCGATGCTTGGACTGATTCTTCTGAAATGTTTATTATTTCTTTCCTTCCACAGACTCCAAGCAGCCACCAGGAAGATGTCGAAGAAGAGCGGGCACCCCCAAGATTCTTTACCGTGTTGGAGAAGTTGGAGGCGGCAGGTAAAAGAGGGCCAATCAACACCAAGTTTTTGCCACCAGGATCGGCTAAACGGGCAAGTGAAGATCATATCATCCACCGTCTCCTCAACAGGGGTGCCACAAAGCAAATAGCTGTGATCATCTCCAATATGTTAGTGCCGACGCTTGAGCATGTTACGCGTGTGTAATCTATCATTCATGAGACCAAACGGTCAAATTTTCTAACCGACCTCCGGCATAAAGACCAAATGGCAAGGAATCAGAGAGGTTGTTAAAACCAAGTTGCAGTTGAACTAGACTCATTAGCTTGCCAATTCCTTAAGAAATAGATCCAGAGAGTTGGTTCTGTGCAAGGACTAACTTGGTGAGCTCTGTCAAACTTCCTAAGTTGTTTGGGATGGAACCTGATAGTTTGTTAATATTAAGATACAAATTTTCTAAGTTCACAAGGTAACCCAATTCTCATGGAATTTTCCCCGAAAGTTTGTTGTGATAAAGGCTTAATGTATTGAGTTTTGTCAGATTCCCTATGGTGATTGGGATAGAACCTGGGAGTGTGTTTAAACTAAGAGACAACTTTTGTAAGTTCACAAGGTAATCCAATTCTCGTGGAATTTGCCCCGAAAGTTCGTTGTGATAAAAGCTTAATGTATTGAGTTTTGTCAGATTGCCTATGGTGATTGGGATAGAACCTGAGAGTGTGTTTAAAGTAAGATCCAAGTTTTCTAAGTTCACAAGGTAACCCAATTCGCGTGGAATTTGCCCCGAAAGTTCATTGTGATAAAGGCTTAATGTATTGAGTTTTGTCAGATTCCCTATGGTGATTGGGATAGAACCTGCGAGTGTGTTTGAACTAAGATCCAAGGTGTCTAAGTTCACAAGTTAACCTAATTCTAGTGGAATGTGACCAGAAAATCTGTTGCCCCAAAGAAGTAAGATAGTGAGCTTGGTCAAATTACATAAATTTCTTGGAATGTGCCCTGAGAGTGTGTTTTCATATAGATCCAATTCTTTTAAGCTCATCATATAACCTAGCACCTGTGGAATTTGTCCCGGAAGTTGGTTCTGAAAAAGGAACAATCTGGTGAGTTTGGTCAAATTCCCTATGGTGATTGGGATAGAACCTGAGAGTCTGTTTGTATTAAGTTCTAATTCCTCCAAGTTAACTAGCTGACCTAATTCTCGCAGAATTTGGCCAGAGAGTCTGTTGCCCCATAGATATATGATAGTGAGCTTGGTCGAATTAAACAAATTTATTGGAATGAAACCTGAGAATGTGTTTTCACAAAGATCCAAGACCTCTAAATTCACTTGATAACCTAGATCTTGTGGAATTTGGCCAGAAATTTGGTTCTGTCCAAAATACAAGGCAGTGAGTTTTGTTAAATTTCTCCAGTTATTTGGGATGGAACCTATCAGCTTGTTTCGGCTAATGCCCAAGTCCTTTAAATTGACCAAATGACCAAGTTCTCGAGGGATGTGTCCAAAGAGTTGGTTGGCGTCAAGGTACAAGGTAGCAAGTTTTGTCAAGTCACCTATATTGCTTGGGATTGAGCTGGAAAGATTATTATAAGAAAAATCTAATGTAACCAAGTGCTTTAGGTAGCCTATTTAAAAGGGGATTTGACCAAGTGATTGACCGACAAGTTGAGGGTCAAAAGACTACTCATGTTGCCTATGTGCCTTGGTATTCCCCCGGAGATTTCATTTTCATGAAGCATTAAGGAGCGTAATTTTGTGAGATTTGCTAGGCCTAGTGGAATGGAGCCTCTTATCTGGTTGCCTTGTAGAAGCAGAGCTCGGAGCTCTCCGAGGACCTCAATGCCGGCAGGGATGCTCCTGCTGAGCTGGTTGTGCGAGAGGTCGAGGCACGTCAAGGTCGCCAAGGCTGAGAAGTCGAGTGGCCCCAGCACCCCTCTCAGCCGCATCGCCCGCAGAGAGATGCCGCTGATCACCGGCCGGCGGTGTTGCCCTGTGCACGTGATGCCACGCCAGCTGCAGGGCGCCGATATGTTCTCCCAGGACTGCAGTGTGTGCTGGCTTTGGTCGTCGAGGCTGGCTTTCCAGACAAGGAGTGCCCTCGCCTGTCCTGCAAGCACCGCCGCCTCCGGCACAAGTGCAGCGGCGGTGGCGATCATCATCATCGTGGCCATCACGGCGAGCATCTTGGGTGGCTCGGTCTCCATGGCTAGCTAGGCTGGGTGGAATTGGCTATGGTGGTTGTGAGAGCTGATGGCAGCTAGCAGGCTATCTAAATAGCAGATGGAGAAACGCACACGTACATCTGTCCATATGTTCACGGTGACCACGCTGGCCATGGAAGTCAGAGTCATTCGTACGTGCTGGGGCCATGTGCATACCGATCTGCGGATGTCTGGGATCCATTATCTCACACGCCAATATATGTTGTAGATGCGAATCAACCTGTGGTTGAGTTGGTTAGGTGGAGAGTGATATCCCCAACCCACCAGGGTTCCAGTCCTGGTGCTCGCATTATTTTTGGATTTATTTCAGGATTTCCGGTGATGCGCTTTCAGTGGGAGGAGACGTTCCCGTCGATGACGAGGCGCCTACGGTGACTTCGTAAATCTCAAGATGATATGCCGGCTCAGTCTCTCGGAGGTGCTCATAGGGGTAGGATGTGCGTGTGTGCGTTCATAGGGATGAGTGTATGCGCGTATATATGAGCGCTTGTGTCTGTACTGATGCTAAAAGAAAAATATGTTGTAGATTCCAATAATTGGATGGATACTGGGGTCATATAAGTCGGCTGCCAAACATCCGATAGACACGTGAAGCAAACTAGGCAGCCAAATGATGGGTGGCGTCGCTTGACCGAGAGAATGGGGACCACAAATATGGTATGCATTCTTCCGAAAACTTTGAAAGCAGGACGTGCGTTAGACAGCACCACAAGATTGGCCTTCGAAGGTACTGTAGTAATTTGGATGTATGCTACCTCACCACCACTGGAATTTCCCGTTTGATTTAGCGTGAAAAATGTTAAATTGTGATCTAAATTCTAGTACCATGTTGGATTAGACGTTGTACAACCGGTGTGGGCCTTTTCGTTGGCGTCGACGCGTACGAGTACAACTCGTTTACTTGTCCTTCAAGGACTCTCCTGTATTGCTCTCTTATATACCCCATGTAGTCGCACCTCAGACGGTCTGTTGTCTCGTGCTTGTAATACTCCTCCATCATAGTGATTGCGCCTTCGTGCGTCCGTGGTTTTCTCCCGCAAGGGTTTCCACGTAAAAATCAATGTCTCTTTGTCTCGTTTATTTCTCGTTATTATCTAACAAGTGGTATACAGAGCCAAGCTGAAGATACGAGATTTGAGATCGAGGGATTAGGGTTCGGCGTTGTGCGCGCCGCCGCACGTGTCTCTGACGATCGTCGATCCATCGGATCGATTTCTACAGGACCGAGACCGACAGGATTTTCCTTGTGCGCGCCGCCGTAACCGAGATCGACACGAAGTTGATTTGCCCGGTCGTCGCTTGCACCCGAGGCCGCTGATCTACCTACAGGCTGCAAGTACCGAGACGCATCACGCTACATTGCTGCTGCTCCACGTCATTAACCAAGGCAAAAGCGATCTGACCAGCCGTCGTCCTCACGTGAAGACCAATGGCTGGCTGTACTAGTGTTCTAGCACTTCAACTAGTACTCCATCACGTGAAGCTACAGCACACTTTGGTCCTTAAATGCTACAGTTTGGTTTTTTCTACTTCATCCATTGTCCAGTACTACTACCAGGTGCTATTGTTTCTAATTTTTTTGCTCCGCATATTAAATTCTATCAATAATTTTTTTATGGGCTTGTACTACTTTGTGTACACAGATTATCTACTCATGGCTTCCATGAAGTACGATCTTCCGCCGCTGGACCGTGACACAAGGTTTACCCTATGGCAAGTCAAGATGCGGGCATTGTTGGCACAGACCGACTATGATGAAGCACTGGATAGTTTTGGGAAAAACCGAATTGAGGACTGGACTGATGAGGAGAAAAGTATTGATTGTAAGGCTTTGTCAAAAATTCAACTCCATTTGCATAATAATATTTTGCAGGAAGTTTTGAGTGAGAAAATTACCGCCGCTCTATGGTTAAAGTTGGAAGCAATTTGCATGACTAAAGATCTCACCAGCAAGATGCATCTGAAGCAAAAATTATTCCTGCACAGGTTACCCGAGGGAGGTAATGTTTTGAATCATATTTCTGAATTTAAAGAGATCATATCCGATCTAGCTGCAATGGAGGTTAAGTATGAAGAGGAAGATACTGCTTTAATGTTACTTTGTTCACTGCCAAGTTCTTATACCAATTTTAGAGACACCATATTATACAGTCGTGATACTCTCACACTTAATGAAGTTTATGAAGCTTTGAACTCTAAGGAGAAGATGAAATTAATGGTGCCTCATGATGGTTCGAGTTCATCCCAAGCCGAGGGATTATCTGTTCGTGGCAGGACAAAGGAGAAGAACTCACATAATGGAAACAGAGGCAAAAGTAAGAACGGCCACAGGGGCCGGTCACAATCCAGAGACAAGAAGTATTGCAGATATTGCAGGAGAGACGGGCATGACATCTCAGAGTGTTTCAAGTTGCAGAATAAAGAAAAGAGGAAAGGTAACAAACAAGGTGAAAATTCTACTAACGTTGCTCGTGATGATAGTTCCGATGATGCTCTTGTCGTTATTGCTGGATGTGCTGAGACCAATGATGAGTGGGTACTTGACACTGCATGTAGTTTCCATATGTGCCCGCATAGAGATTGGTTTAATACTTTTGATTCCACTACTTCTCCTGGTTCCGTTTTGGGTTTTGATAATTCACCATGCAAGATTGAAGGCATAGGTTCCGTTCGAATCAAGATGTTTGATGGCATGATCAAAACTTTGACAGATGTTCGGTATATTCCGAAGATGAAGAGAAATCTTATCTCTGTTAGTGCCCTTGATGCAAAGGGGTACAAGTATTCAGGTGGAGATAGTGTTTTGAAGGTCACCAAAGGCTCCCTTATTGTCATGAAAGGTGATTTAAGTTCGACCAATGGTCTTTATTACCTTCGAGGTTCTACCGTTTCAGGTAACGCTACTCCAGTTGTTTCAAAGAATTCTGATTGTGATGCTGCTAACCTTTGGCATATGCGTCTTGGACATATGAGTGAACTTGGTTTAGCAGAGTTAAATAAGAGAGGTCTTCTTGATGGATATGAACCTGGTAAATTGAAATTTTGTGAGCATTGTATCTTCGGCAAGCACAAGAGGGTGAAGTTCAATACTTCGACCAATACAACTAAAGGTATTCTTGATTATGTGCATTCTGATTTATGGGGACCATCTCGCAAGAAGTCATTAGGTGGTGCAAGTTACATGCTGACTATTATTGATGATTATTCGAGAAAAGTTTGGCCTTATTTCTTGAAGCATAAATATGAAGCATTCTCAGCTTTTAAGGAGTGGAAGATTATGATTGAAAGACAAACTGAAAGGAAGGTAAAGATACTTCGCACTGATAATGGTTTGGAATTCTGTTCTAAGCAATTTAAGAATTACTGCAAGTCTGAAGGCATTGTCAGACACTACACCGTTCCTTATACTCCTCAACAAAACGGTGTTGCTGAGCGTATGAACAGGACCATTATTTCCAGAGCCCGTTGCATGTTGTCCAATGCAGGTTTGCATAGGCGTTTTTGGGCTGAGGCCGCTTCCACTGCTTGTTATCTCATTAACCGTTCACCATCTATTGCTCTTAATAAGAAAACTCCAATTGAGGTATGGTCTGGTTCACCTGCTGATTATTCACAGTTGAGAGTTTTTGGTTGCACTGCTTATGCTCATGTTGATAATGGAAAGTTGGAGCCTAGGCCTGTTAAGTGCATCTTTCTTGGTTATAAGTCTGGTGTTAAAGGTTTTAAATTGTGGAATCTTGAAACCCAGAAGGTTGTTATTAGCAGAAATGTTATCTTTAATGAAACTGCTATGTTACATGATGTTCCATCTCCTAATGTTCCTGTTGAGAGTGAACAACAGCCTACTGTTCCGCAGCCCACTGTTCAGGTGGAGCATGTTATTGAAACAGGTGGAGCATCTGGTAATGAAATTGTTGATGCACATGATGAACCCGTCGTTGATGATGAACATGTCACTCCCACTCCAAATCAGCCTATTGTTCCACCCAGTTGGAATCTTGCACGTGACAGAGTTAGGCGGGGTATTAATAAACCTGACAGGTTAATTGAAGAGTGCAATATTGTTTCTTTTGCTTTATCTGTTGCAGAAGAAATTGAAGGTAATTCTGAGCCTTCTTCATATTCCGAGGCTATTATTTCTGGTGATAGTAATAAGTGGATGACCGCTATGCATGATGAGATGGAATCACTTGAAAAGAATGGCACTTGGGATTTAGTAAAATTGCCTAGAGAGAAGAAACCTATTCGTTGCAAGTGGGTTTTCAAGAAGAAAGAAGGTGTTTCTCCTAATGACGAGACAAGATATAAAGCAAGGTTAGTTGCTAAAGGTTATAGCCAGATTCCAGGTATTGACTATAACGAAGTCTTTTCTCCTGTTGTGAAGCATGGCTCCATTCGCACTTTACTCGGTATTGTTGCCATGCATAATCTTGAGCTTGAACAACATTGGATGTTAAAACTGCATTCTTACATGGAGAATTAGAAGAGGATATTTATATGGAACAACCTGAAGGTTTTGTTATTCCTGGAAAAGAAAAGCTTGTCTGTAAGTTAAAGAAATTTCTTTATGGATTAAAGCAATCCCCTAGACAGTGGTACAAGAGATTTGACACCTTTATGCTCTCTCAAGGTTTCAAAAGGTCTAATTATGATAGTTGTGTTTATTTGAAAACTGTCAATGGTTCAACTATTTATTTGCTCCTTTATGTTGATGATATGCTTATTGCTGCAAAGAGTATGTTAGAGATTAATGAACTAAAGAAGCAATTGAGTAATGAATTTGAGATGAAGGATTTGGGTGCAGCAAAGAAAATTCTTGGCATGGAAATATCCAGAGATAGACCATCTGGAAAAGTATATCTAAGTCAGAAGGGATATATTGATAAAGTTCTTCGTCGTTTTAATATGCATAATGCCAAGCCGGTGAGTACACCGTTAGCTGCACACTTTAAATTGTCATCAGCTTTATGTCCTAAGTCAGA